TAACAGTAATGCTGGAAATAGTAGACATCAGAAACTAGAAAGTTTTTAAATAAACAATAAATTATCATTTTACGATGTTCTTTAATATCCCTTTATTCTTAAATGTTCATTCAGCAAGGACTAGATTTCAAGATTTCTGCCCTTGATTATAATATTTGGCTGGTATGCAATTTTGTGACTTACTGATCGGAAACCAGTTTTAATCATTCATTCTATGTTTTCTTTAGAACAAAAATGAAAATATAAGTAGCGATCCTTTTTATACATTTTAACTTCACGCTATTATAAATGGTTTCTTCAATGACAACTTATTAGACTTAGGCAACTTCTCATACATTTTCCAGTAAATACTGTTGCCTGCCTATATTTTATTATTGATTTTTAATGATTATACATAATTTTCTTCAATTTAAGCGTAAAAAATGTATAATAATAATAAATTAATGTTTTAATTGTTTTATAAATCCATATACTTTTATTAAAACTAACATATATACTTTTTATTTACGAATTCTATTAAAAATTGTATTTGTCAGTATAGGCAGAAATACTCCTTTAATACCAAAACAAATTGGCGCTGCTGTCGCGCACGGAGCGAATAGTGACGACGCAGTTCGGGAAACTTGGCGAAAAGCACTTTCAATTGCAACTCCAGAAGTGTGGCGGAACTGTATATCCAAGTGCGAGAAACTAATAGAAGATTGGTGGATTCGTGAAAATAAAATAAACGAAATAAATCCAATCATAATAACAATTAATGGTGATGACAGTAATGAAATGATGACGATTATGATATTTTGAATGATAATGACTGATTTTCATTTTTGTTGGCAAGTTCAATTTTTTTTATTTTTCATTTGAAATTCTCTACATGGAACAAATTTTTATGTTAGAAAATATTTAATTTTGAGCTAAATAACCGTCTTATTATACATAAACCATATTTTCTGTGTGCCACATTAGACTCCATTAATGAAGAAGTTTAATTCTGCTCTCAATTATACAAAAGATTCTCCATTATTATTTTATTAAAAAATTGTATATTATTTTTCATTTAATTTAACCAGTTGATATTTCCCCAAATTTTTAATCCTAAATCCGCGTAAGTATAGCGAACAGACTGTATCTAACAATACCTAGTTTAAAAAGTTTGAGTTCTTTACACTCATTATAACGCGTGACAATCGTGATGACAGGGTATCAAATTCGAATACCAAGCATTTTTATATAATCATGTTCATTCTTTGTGAAAAAAGGATTTCGTAAACGAGGGTCCTTTAGCCGAAATTTAAAAAAAAGGTCTCACGGTTATGTTTTTATATAAATCCGGTTCCTCCTTTTTGTTTACGGTCTTGAATATTAAAAAGCGTGTCATTTTGGTCAAATGCGAACATTTTCGTACTTTGGCGTTGCGCGTACAAGCAAGTCAAAAAGCGTGACAAATACGCCTAAAGCGTGACGCCTGGCAACCCTATAAATTATCATCTTTAACCTCTAATATCTCAAAACTTCAATTTGGTGCTTGGTTCTTTTAAACAAGCATCCTCTTGTTCTTGGCAAATTTGTTCGTCAGTCTGTCATCAACGTCAGTCATTGTGACATCACAATGAATGTTTTTATTATTTCAGGCGTCTAAATATGAATTCTATCTATTTTAATTTCCATTCGAATATTGATTGAATCCAGACCTGTCTCTAAGCATTTTATATTTTATATTCTCTTCCTTGTTTAGATTTCAATCATCAAACGAGTAAATCGTATACGCTCCTGGATCTCGAGTGATTTAAATGGCTTTAGCGACCGTGCATTAGTCATAAAGTAAATAGATCGGTACTTTTTTTATTATAAACCACTCTCTGTTTGTTTATGTGATATTTAATTGCCGCAATATGCGTGCTGGCTTTACCTTTCATGGCGAAAAAAAAGGTATATAAACGAGATGGTATATCAAGTGGTTCGTAAATGTTGATAAAAACATTTCTTGGAATGTCAAGACGAATCGATTCATGAGAAAAGCGGTAGTGGGCAGGTTTCTGTTAATATGTGTCAGTAACAGATCTCATATCATTATTAGGTGTTTGTGTTTACTTTTTCTTGTTAAGCGGAAAGTATTAAGTTCTGCTAAGTGAGTACGATGCACATTGATGAAAAATTAATGAAATAAACAAGGCAACAAATTCGATACAATAACAAAAGAGGGTTCAAAATGTTGTTCACTTGTTTTGTAGATTCAAAAAGAAATCTGGTAAATAACTAGGGTTGCCAGACGTCACGCTTCAGACGTGGCAGCCACGCTTTTTGACTTGCCTGCACGCTTTTTATGAAAATTCCACGCTTTTTTAAAGGCGCAGAGGAATCGGATTTATACAAAAATAGACCGGGTAAAAGACCTTCGTTTGTACGAAAAATAAGTTGAGGACTTTTTTTTAGAAGTGTTCATAAAAAAGGACCTGATTATATAAAAAAGTTTGACTCGTTTTAGGAAAAATAAGCTGAGGACCTTTTTTTTAAATGTTTACAAAATTTGGACCTGATTATATACGGTTGCCACGCTTTTCACTTCCGGAAATGTGGCAACCCTATAAATAACCCCGTATCTTTAGTTGATTCATCTAAATTTAAATTTATCTTGGAAAATGAATGGATTAATTTTCATTAATCACTTTGTTAATTCTTGTGATAGTGTCAGTTTCGATAAAGTCTAAATTTTAAATACTAAATCTTTATTAAAATTATTTCACAATTTCTTTGAGGAATACCAGTAGGTATAGCGATAAGGGTTAACAAGGGTTAACAACAAAGTGTATTAAGACAACAATATCTTAATACACTTGATTGTTAACGACGTGCTTGAAAAGAACGTCTCAATACATTACGCAGTGTTCCAAAAAAAAAAAAGTTTTATACACATGAAAAAAGTTTAGTTTTTCAAAAATCCATGTGCATAAAAATTTTTGGAACACACTATGTAATGTATTGCGACATGCTCGAAGAGCACGTTGTTCACAACAATATCATAATACATTTGGTTGTTAACGACGTGCTTGAAGAGCACGTCTCAATACATTACAGAGTCTTCCAAAAAGTTTTATACACATGAAATAAGTTTAGTTTTTCAAAAATTAATGTATATAAAATTTTTTGGAATACACTATGTATTAACAATAAAGTATTTAGATATTAAGAGCACGTCGCAGCCCATCACTGGGTTTCAAAAAGTTTTATAAACAAACAAAAGTTTAATTTTTCAAAAATCCATGTGCATAAAAATTTTTGGAACACACTATGTAATGTATTGCGACATGCTCGAAGAGCACGTTGTTCACAACAATATCATAATACATTTGGTTGTTAACGACGTGCTTGAAGAGCACGTCTCAATACATTACAGAGTCTTCCAAAAAGTTTTATACACATGAAATAAGTTTAGTTTTTCAAAAATTAATGCTTGAAGAGCACGTCTCAATACATTACAGAGTCTCCCAAAAAGTTTTATACACATGAAATAAGTTTAGTTTTTCAAAAATTAATGTGTATAAAACTTTTTGGAACACACTATGTATTGGATTGCGACGTGCTCGTCGTTAACAACAATATCTATATACACTTTATTGTTAACGACGTGCTCTAAGAGCACGTAGCAATCCATCAGTGTGTTTCAGAAAGTTTTATACACATAAGAAAAAGTTTTTTTTGTATATAAAAAGTTTTTACACATGAGAAACAGTATTTTATTTTTACAAAAAACATTTTCGTAATTAGAAAAAGTGATATTTGTATTAATTGTCTAGGCATGCGGAATTCAATTAAGAACTGTCTACCTTTTTCAACATGCTCAATATATAATAAAAAACACTCCCTTCTGCATAAAAAAAAATGTTTCGCTGCACTTCAGCAAATAAATTATAAAAATTAATCACTATCTTTATACGACCAATCTCCCAATAATTCTGCACCAACACAAACATGTCATTCGCAATAATTGGATCATAAAATACCCTAAACCTCTTCTCAATCTAATAATCACTCTGTTACTCCACAAAACACATCATTGTTATCAGCGATAACAACAGAATGTGCTCATGTACTATTTCCACTACTCAAGTTTGCTTATATCCAAAAAATGGCCGTCCTAAAATAGCTCGAACACTTCTTGATACTGGTAGTTAATTGTCTTATATCACTTTCTCTCTTAGGTGGTAAACCATACAATTACAAATCTCAAATCTCTGAGATTTGCAATAATGAAACTAGTGTGCAACAAATGACAGATGTGGACATTTCGTCTCATTTTGATTCTTCCATCTCTTATAAAGTTTCATGTGCAATAGTGGAGAAAATCACTCAAAAGTTATCTCAGGTTTTTATATTGAATATACTCCCTCATTTCAAAGATTATTTCGCAGATAAAACATTTAATCTACCATCCAAGATTGATATACTTTTAGGAGCTGATGTATACTATGACTTTGGCACTAATTCAAACCCAAATAGGGTGAATACTATCTGGAACATTACCTCGAAAGTTTCTAATTTCAAAATCTCCCAATGTTCATTTCTTAATAGGAATAGTATAAAAAATAAAATTCAATTGCAGACTCAAATAATTTGCTACACCTAGTACATCTAAACATACCAAATGACGAAACGTATATACATAACAGCATGACACTTCAAAATTGTTTCCTCGTTTTTGCATCTGCAAAACATCGAGACAGGGGTTTTATCGCGAAATCTCGAATTATCCCGTTTCCTAGACGCAGGTGGACATCTAACGACGTGCCTAATTTGAATAAAGCCAGTAGGCATTCCGTTACGAAGTTCTTTGGGGAAATGAAAGATGAAATTATTTAATCTAACCGGCAAAAACGTAGGAAGGATGACTCTGATTTGACACGACCGAATTAAATTAGATCATGGAAGTGTTTGGGAATTTAAAATGGATGCATAACATGTAGTTGTAGTAGTATAAAGATTAACAAAAGTCCTTTTTGTTTCAGTCCTGCAAAGTTTGCAACAAAACTTTCGCCAACGTCTATCGGCTACAAAGACACATGATTAGCCACGATGAAAGCGCCATCTTAAGAAAATTTAAATGCACAGAATGTGAGAAGGCGTTCAAATTTAAACATCACCTTAAGGTAAGGTTATATATATTTTTTAAATTGGGTTAATTATTCAGTTAACATTTTATGTTCTGCTGGTCGTTATATTTATAAATAGGTTCAAAAAAAAATCAGATAATCCTGGATTATAGTGTCCAAACTTTATTACAACTTTATAAAAAAAGAAACTGGATTAAATAGGATCGTTAAAAATTCACATGACTTTAAATCATGTTTATAGTGTCGAGACGAAGTATTTGAATATTTTTAAAGTTTGTTCACTACGAATTTTTCTTTAAAATTGTGATATTCAAAATATGTATTAGAAAATTCTTTGTTGATATATAAAAGATTGACTGAAAAACAAACAAGTTTTTATTATCGAAAAATTGAATTAACAATACCAAACTGAAGTAATAACAAATTTAAAAATTAGTCTTGATCCAATATAATCAGTCAGCTGTTTTAATCTCTTTCTAAAAAGAATGATCCATTATCTTTATCTTTCATGATATACATTCCACAAGCATATTATAGTTTGTTTTCTAAATTTAAGGACTTAACGATAAAGGCGAAATTCGTAAAAATAAAAAAAAAACTTAAAAAAGTTTGTAGAATTTTTTTTCTAGTGAGAGATTTATAGTACAAACAACAACTACATCAAATTTATTACACTTTTAGCCATACGCGTAACATCTTCCCCTGGTGTGTCTTTTTTCCACACCTCAATCAGTAAAATGTCTCATTATTTTCTCTTCTCTTCCAACTTTTATTTCTTCTTTCGGTGCACTTCTCATTCATTGGGTTTCTGGTCATTGTACGCAATAAATACACACTTCTTCTTTTATTGCTTGAGCTGCCTTTTATTTGCTCCCATGTTTAGCCATTTCTAGATTCAAATTAGTTTTACCTAACAACTTTGCTTGTTGAACACAGTGAAAAGCGTCCCATCAGAGGGATAGACTAAAAGGTGGCATAGGATGAAAATATATTTCGAGGAGCGTTTAAGACTCGCCGAAGATTATTGCGGCGAGTCCTTTGGACTCGCCGATAAAGGCGAAACTCGTGGATCTTATAAAAAAAATTTAAAAAGTTTGTAGAATTTTTTTCTAGTGAGGAATTTATAATACACGCAACTGGAAACGCCTCGGCTTATCACATTTGTTACACTTTTTACTAACGCGTAATATCTTCCCCTGGTGTGAGACAAATCCTTCGAACTCGCCGACAAAGGCGTGAATCTTATAAGAAGAAATTAAAAAAGTTTGTAGAATTTGTTTTTTCTGCATAAAAACATTCTTTTAATTTAATGGCCTTTCGTCCAATACATCACGCACAAAATTGGCGACAACGTAACGACACGACACACAGGTCTCACTCGCCATTACTTATAAAAAATAGGTTACTAGCCGGTTTTTAGAAAAATTATTTCTTAAATGTTAACAAACGCACAATAAATAATATTCTAAAAAAACTTTTTATTTTCAGGAACACATTAGAATCCACAGTGGTGAAAAACCCTTTGAATGCGGAAACTGCGGCAAACGTTTCTCCCACTCCGGATCCTATTCTAGTCATATGACGTCGAAGAAATGTCTAGTGATGAACGTTAAATTAGGCAGGACAAGAGCACCAACAAATTCACTTTTAGACAAAAATACTCAACATAATAGAGGAGCGAAAAGATCCAACATTAGTCCTATTAATAACAACATCACCACTAGTCCCAATCATAATTCTTATTTACCGATTCTACCGAAGTACCCGGAAGCAGCTGCTGCTTTTTTGCAGTCTTCTCTAAGCGGTAATCCCACCATTCCTCCTTTCTATTTAGGCCCTCCTAGTATTCTCAGCGCTCACGCTATTAGTCCGTATTCTATACCATCGCTCAACCACATATTGGAACAGCTACAGCAACAACACCAACAAAATCAGCAGCAAAGTCCTCTAAGGCCGCCTTGTGTTGAAAACTGTGATAGTCCTAGACGAACAGAATCTAACCCAAACTTCGAAAATTCCAGTAATCATTCTGAAAACAACGAAAATATAGCCAATTCCGATTGTGGTGATCTAGTAATGGACGAAGAAGCTGATATAGAAACCAAAAACGAATCTGAAAACCAAACAACTACTGGTGATTTAGAAGCTGTTAAAAGGATATTAGAAACCGTAAATGCTACTGTTACCAAAGAATTACTAGAAGCCAATATGCAAAAAATATCTTCGGATACCTCCAGTGAATGCCATAGTGTTACTTCAGCTCATTCCCCGAAATCAACCTCGAAATGTACTACGTGTAAAAAAGTGTTTGATACGCAGCAACTATTAGAAGAACACGAATGTGTGGATATAAAAAGCGAAGGCTTAGCGGCAAAATTAGAAGGTGCATTTACAAGCAAATCTGACGAAGCTCATAACGGCAGTATAAGCGGTGAAGATCAAGATTACGATAGAATGCATTACAGCGAAATTGATTCCGAATCGTTTACTACGACCGATCACGTTTCTGAAGACGGTAGAAAAGTTCGAGTGAGATCTTTAATATCAGACGAACAACTTAAAGTTCTTAAAGACAATTATAAATTAAATCCTAGACCGAAACGTGAAGATTTAGAGAAAATAGCGTCAGCCATCGGATTTCCTGTTCGAGTAGTTCAAGTATGGTTCCAAAATACTAGAGCTCGAGATAGGAGAGAAGGAAAATTAATTCAAGTTCCTTACAGCCCAATGTCGTCTTCTCCACGATATAATCTACCTCCTAAAGCACCTTTAATGTCTCCAAACCAATACTCGTCCGAACAACCGTTAGATCTTTCAATAAAGAGGGAAATTACTTCAGCTGAATCTTCACCAGCAAGTTCTCCTCGAAGAGCTTCATCAGAAATTAACGATGAAGCCGTGAATCTCAGTAGAAAAAATTCCAGAAGTCCCACTCCATACCTTCCTTACCAAAACCACTACCACAACTCGAATTCTTCAGATCCTCGGCAGTCTCCTTCGCCGTTGGACTTCAACAGTAGTCGACTAGCTCAAATTCTAGCTCAACCAGCTCACAAACTCGCATTACCCGGCATGGGGCTGGTCCCCATGGATCAATTAATGCAATTCGGTACTACGGATCTTCCTAGTCTATCTCAATTTATTAATAGTAGAATTTCGAACCTGAGTCCGAGCGAAAAACGCGCCTGGAACGAAGCGAGAGATCTTTCCGGTGATATGACGGAAGACGATCTTTCGAATCCGAGTAAGAGAAGTAAAATGTCGCAGTTTGTTTTCAAGAGCCTCGGCAGTCCAGTATTAGGCAACACGGAGGTGGAAGTTGAAGGGCAGTTTACTTGCGACCAATGTGATAAGGCGTTTTCGAAGCAGAGTTCGTTGGCTAGGCACAAGTATGAACATTCAGGTGAGGATGAAATTTTTCTTTATATTATGAAAATATTTTATAGAATTTGGTACATTTTTTAGACAAATCTGGTACATTTTAAAGACAAATTTGGTACATAATAAAAATATATTCTGGCATCACTGGTTGTGCCTTTTAGTAATAATATCTACGCTGTCGTGGGATTATGTCTCTTTGTCTTTTGAATTTACGTGTCTAGCAACGTCTAAAAATTATCAGGTTTTTGTGCAAGTATCCATGCCTCCTAGTGGTAAAATTACCTTCCGTGATGTTAAAAATGTCTTCCTTACTGTACGTTGGAAGATAATACTTCGTAATCGAATATAAAAATATATTTGTGTTTATTTAATTTTGTCAGGTTTTCCGTTATTTGTTCTTCAAAACTCTTGAATTAAATTTTTATACATCCTTCTTGTGCCTTTTCCCTAATGAAGTGATATCCCACATATACTTGTTCCTTTTATTTAACTGTCCTGTCTTCATTCAGGTAGAAATATTTTGTGTCTTTGGATTTTTAATGTTTTCAAGTGATGCTATGTAACAAAATTGTCCATAAACGAATAAATGATAAGTCTCTATGATGCTAAATCTAATTCAATTTTAATTATTTGATGATGTGACGCGCGATGGTTAACAAAAAATTCGTTTATATTTCTCCATGGGTAGATATTAATGACATAGACGCTGCGTATCAATGTCAAATATCTATTCGAAAATACCTAAGCAACTAATACGAGACAATTGCAATATTATTGTGCTATTTAAACAGGATAAAATTAACTTCAAACATCGTTGGTATATAATTTGTAGTTAAATTTTATTTTCAAATATTTGTTTATAGAATTTTCGTTCAAATAGGTGATCAAGTCTAAAATTTTACATTTTTTAGTTTGTAATGTCCATATATCTTGAATTCAATGGTATTTATCAGGAAAAAATTAACTAAAAAAAATGTAGACAAATATATTTATGTGGGTCTTGTCCCACAAATATAGTCGTTGGAATATTGAGATTCTTATTTGATTGATCTACAAATTATTATTTTATTTTTTATGTTTAAATAGCACAATAATATTGCAATTGACTCGTATCACCTGCTTAGGTATTTTCGAATAGGTTTGACATTGATAAGCAACGTCTATGTTATTATGTCTACACATGCATTAATGAATCCATTATGGCTGAATAAGTAAATTTTCGATTTTTCTTACAGGTCAACGTCCACACAAATGCGACGAATGTCCGAAAGCCTTCAAACACAAACACCACCTCACAGAACACAAGCGTCTTCACAGTGGAGAGAAACCTTTTCAATGCAGCAAATGTTTGAAAAGGTTTTCGCATTCTGGATCCTACAGCCAGCATATGAATCACCGGTACTCTTACTGTAAACCGTATAGAGAGTAAATTATGTAATGTAAATACTACAATTAATTTTTTGGAGTTAGTTACGTGAGATGCCAAATTTTTTTGTAACGTAGAGGGATCCTGTGATTAGTTTTTTAATAAGGAGCTACTTTAAAATGCAAAAGACCAAACTTGACTAAAATTAAGAGAAGATGGGTATAGACTTTCTATATTCATCTTCACTTTTAATTGAAGTTGTGGTGCCATAATTATGAAAGCTTTATTTTCTGAATATTTTTAAATTTCCGTTAATTTTAACATTTCTGTAACTTGTAAATAACTTCTCTGGTACCTGTACGATAATACTCATAAGTATACAGAGAGACAGTGCCAGAAAAATCTAAGTCTTCCACCACTATATATATTGGTTCAGTGGTGTAGCAGGCAATGGGGCACCAAAGCAATTGTTATGAAAAAGAAATTAGTCATTATGTGCAATTGGACGTGAGTTACCGTATTTTAGTAGAGTATAAATATTGAAAAAGTTTGTGATTGGAAGATTTCAGATATTATTTTTTTAAATATTGCCAAAAATATTGTAGATAATGTAAGATATATAAATATAAATATATTGCTTTATTGAAAAGTGCCATACGGAAAACAAAGATGTATAGCCTATATGTATAAGGTTTCCATACATCGATTACTTAGTATGTTAGCATGGTAACCTACCTTTAGTTCGTAGTAACGTCTATTTCTTTAAACTAATTTAAAAACAATTAAAATTATAATAGAGTAATAAATTTTTTACCAAAGAAACCAAAAACAAATAAAATTTAGGTTTATTAGAAACCATTTTTCTAGATATCCTTTTACAAATTAGCAATTCTTTCATTGTAATCTTTAAAATTCAACATAAAGAGTCACTAGTAATTAAACTTAGTTTTTCGAATCTTTTTTTCAGTCCAAGAGGGATATTTCATGTTTCGTTTCTTTAAGTAACTGTTAATTAAACTCAGTTTTTCGTACTTCATTTTTGGCGCCCAACGTGGGGCCATTCATTGTTTTTTGCGAATTAAATTTTGAAAAAAAAAAAGAGAAAAATGTATTATTTTCTTTGTTGATTATTTATTCACTAGAAAGAGAATATTAGTATTATATTATCTTTGAAATAGTCAACTTTTTGTTTAAAAACCGAGCCTCTTCTGAAATGTTAGTTTTTATATTTTCTTCCATTTGATTATCGACTCGAAACATAATTTTTTTTATTTATTTCTTCGTGATGATTTAACTTATCAAAAGATAATTCTACAGATTGGTAAAGAAGATTCATCTGTATTATGCCACATAGTTTCAGAAGAATTACCATAGTACCACAAACCACAATTTTTGATATCTACCAAGTTATTTTAACTAGTTTGATGAATGTTTACAAAAATTATAGACTCTAAAAAGATTTAAAAAAAGAAATGAGATTCGCTAGAATTACTAAAAATTAATTGTGGATTTAGATGCTTTTAATATTTTCATTGGAAGTAACAACTTTTTGATTTTGAAAAATTAAATTAAGTTAATGAGTCATAAAGCTTTTTGTTCTTATTTAAATTATATTTTGGGAACAAAAAATATGGTTTATAAAAAAAATTTCAAAATAAATGTTATCGTTTTTTAACAATTTTTACATATTTCTTATTAATTTTATAATTTGCATATGTTTTTTATGTGTTCATAAATGATGTATATTTTTAATTGGGTTTTATAGAGTTTTAATTGGGTTTTAATTGGTTTTAATTGGGTGTTAATTGGGTTTTTAATTGGGTTTTAATTGGGTTTCTATTTGGTATTATTGAAGCTGAAAGTAGGTTTCATTATTTTTCGATATATCATCTAAACAAGTTTCTAAAATGACACCTATCATTTTATTTAAATGGCACCGCCATTTTTAAATTTTCATCACCATTTTTTTTATTTAAACCACTTTATTTACTTGCTATTAATTTTTTTTATTTTCACTACACTTTCACCATCATATTTTTAATAGCTCCATAAATGTTACAATTTTTAAATATTTGTTATTAAATTTAAAAATATATGATTAAAAAAATTTTCATGTGAGGTGTTCATAATTGATGATATATATTTTTTTAGTTGGGTTGTATTAGATTTTTATTGGAGTCGAAAGTATAGTGTTTTAATTGTATTTTAATTGGGTTTTATTGGAGCCGAAAGTAGGTTTCATTATTTTTCGATATATCTTCTAAACAAGTTTTTCACCACCATTTTTTTATTTAAACTACTATTTATTAGCGATTAATTTTTTTATTTTCACTACAATTTCACCATCATATTTTAAATGGCACCATCAATGTTACAATTTTTAAATATTTGTTATTAAATATAAAAATATATGATTAAAAAGATTTTCATGTGGGGTGTTCGTAATTAATGATATATATTCTTTTAATTGGGTTTTATAGGGTTTTAATTATTTTAATTGGCCTTTAATTGGATTTTTATTGAAGCAGACAGGAAGTTTCATTGTTTTTCGATATATCATCTAAACAAGTTTCTATAATAACACCCATCATTTTATTTATATGACACCGCCATTTTTAAATTTGTAATTTTTTTTTTTATTTACGCCACTATTTATTTGCGATACAATTAGAGCCGAAAATAGGTTTCATTATTTTTCAATATATCATCTAATCAAGTTTCTAAACTGACACCATCATTTTATTTAAATGTCACCACGATTTTTTTATTTGTTATACAGTTTTTTTTATTTGCCCTACAATTTTTTTAATTACACCACATTTTTAATTGCACCATCAATAGCAAAAAAAGAATTCATCAATAATGAATACCCTATATAAAAGTCTTTTTTATCATAAGTTTATCAATTTAATAACAAATATTTAAAAATTATGTAAAATTATAAATAAAAAAAAAATATTTATAGTAATAATTTATTTATATTATTTAATAACAAAAAAATAGAACCTTTTGACTAATGAAAATTTAAAATTTCGATATGTAATAGATTTGCCTTACTCGCCTATATAAAGTTTAAATAATTTGTTAAGCAAAACAGAAATAATCATTTTTTACTTATGAAGAAGGCTATGCAATTTGAAGTCGAAAGCTCCGGTAATTTTGAAATTTTATGTTTATAAAATTTATCTCCAGGAAAGTAAAAAAGAATGAAATGGTTTAAGAAAAACAATTTTATTAACATAAAATAATTAAATTAGTGTAAAAAAGTATCTAGAACGAGAAGATTGAAAAAATGTTTACCTACAAGATAAAACAATTAAATTATTTTAAATAAATAGACGTTACTTTTTAGATTATATATTTATATAAATGTAAACAGTACAATAAGGGGCAAAAGCAGCCTTTGCATCGAGGTGTTACATGACAATACGTAGGAAGCTCATAGTTTTCAACAATACAATGAATAAAATGGTGCAAGTCGTTACATTTATAAGCATTTATTTAAAAATACTAAATATAAAGTTGAACGGTGTATTTGTTACCAAATAAAATGTTTTTAGAATATTTTTAAATTTAAGTCTAAAGCGATTTTGAATTTTTTTAGAACATTTACGTCTGCTTAAATAGTACCATATAAAGGGTAATCCATTAGTGTAAAAAAAACTTACAAATTCATTCTCACATAAATTAAACAAAAACATTTATTTATTTCATCTTTATTATTTTAACAGAAGAAAAAAAAGCTGTTACAAATTGAAAAAATTTTACCAAACATTTCTTTTTTAAATTGTTTCTTTTGCAGTATACAAACTGAATTTTTTCGCACTAATGTCTCACCCTATATGTGAGAGTTTACTTATTCATATAAGAGCATCAAAATTGTTATTTGATCAAATTTTTCAAATCAAGAAATTATCCTTTTCTTACACTATTTGTCTATAATGTGGAACCACTGAAAAATTGAAATTTCTAACATTTCTTACCGAAAATAAGCATTTCCTTTTTTATAACACTTTTCAAAATATAAAACTGCACAAACAAAACATGCATATCTTGATCGTTAGTCAAGATTTTGTATTTACATAGATACCTATTTAAAATACACACAATCAAACTTAAATAAAATCACTCAGTATTTTACAGAATATAATTATTTAAATCAACATATTTGATTGCAAAATTATAAAAATTAAATTCCTTGTACCTAATGTCTAAAACAAATTAAACTATCTAATTTTATAAGTAACATTTTTATCATCCGTACTTCATGCTTTCTTTGAAAGTGTCAATTTCTTTATTAGAAAGGTCCGGTCATTCTTCAAAAACTGCTTCAATCAGTTGTTTTGTGTTTTAAAGGTTATTTTGGCGATCTCCAACCTTTATTTTTATTATAATCCCACATATAATCCCATATATTCGTATGGTATTGTAAACGAAGTGCTCTTGAAGCACGTCGCAATCTATTATACAGTGTACATTGTATAATAAATTGCTGAAACACACTGTATAATAGAATGCGACGTGCTCTTCGAGCACGTCGTAAACAATAGCATATGAATACACTTTGTTGTTAACGACGTGCTCGAAGAGCACGTTGCAATCTATTATACAGTGTACATTGTATAATGAATTGCTGGAACACACTGTATAATAGAATGCGACGTGCTCGAAGAGCACGTCGTTATAGCATATGTGTTATAGCATATGAAGATACTTTGTTGTTCACGACGTGCTCGAAGAGCACGTCGCAATCTATTATTCAATGTAAACTGTATAACAGATTGCAACGTGCTCTTCAAGCACGTTGTTAACAGCATGGTGTATTCATATATTATTGTCAACGACGTTCTCGAAGAGCACGTCGTAATCCATTATACAGTGTACATTGTATAATAAATTGCTGGAACACACTCTTCGAGCACGTCGTTAACAATAGCATATGAATACACTTTGTTGTTAACGACGTGCTCGAATAGCACGTTGCAATCTATTATACAGTGTACGTTGTATAATGAATTGCTGGAACACACTGTATAATAGAATGCGACGTGCTCGAAGAGCAC